GGCTAAGAGGAGGGGACTTCTCTGACAAAGCCTGAGTTTTCATTTTCCTATCTCTATTCCTTTCATTGCTGGCAGTTCTACTCTCCAGCTGGGGAGAGGGGCCCTCTGCTGGGGTACTCATGGAGCTCCAGAGATGGTTTTGGTTGGAGCAAGGGACAGACCAAGCTATTCTTTGTGTAGGGAGAAGGGACCAGCTCCACTCCTGCAGCTCTCCCAGGCAGCATCCCAAGCCCAGGGGCCCCTGCTGAAACAACCATAATAAAGCTCAGTCCTGAACTGAACCAGCCCATCACCTGGCTCTGGAATGAAAGTGGTGCTGTGAGGGGGAGCCTGGGTGCACTAGTTAGGGTTGTATGCAGATGTGGGCAGTTCAGCTCCAGAGAAATAAAAGAATCACTCCTCGGCCGCTCTTTTCTTCCACCTCCCTTCAGCCAACTTCACTCTTGGCCACCTCATCCCCTCCAATCTGAGAAGACATGGTAAGTAGTCGTCTGTTTCCTACATTTTTCTCTCTCTCACTCTTCTTCTCTCCTAATCCCAGCCAAGGGTTATTCCCATTGTATTCTTTCCACTAGTGAATGCCAGTGGAATCTGAACCCAGAATCTCTGGCTGCTGCCACCCCCAAGACTGTAAGGATGCCACTCTGACCGTGAGATTGACTTATTAGTCCTCATCCTCCCCATAAGTGTAGCCAGGCTAAGACTGGTATGTCCACTGACACCAAGGGCCCTGACCTGAAGCAGAGGACAGCTCTAGGGGTGCAGTGGGGCCTGGCCCTAAATGTGTGTATGCCTGTGCATTGGACACACTGGTTTATTAGTGTTATTTCAGCATTGTGATGCAGAGAGAGTAAGTGTAACAGCTGCTCCTTGCTTGCAGTGTTTATTGTTACCTAGAGACAACCTCCTGGCTTTTTCCCAGTTCCCCCTCCCCCCTACCCAACCCCCTCCCTGCCAACAGTCCTACTCTCCCCACACTGATGGGAAATTTATAGCTTGCCCATACCATGCTTTTAACCCTCTCCTGTCCATAGGGTAGGTGGGGTAAGGGAAGCCAAAGTGAGAGTGGGCATGCTTGGGCCTCAGAAGGGTAGAATAGGCTGTGGAGACAGGAGGGAGGAAGGAAGTCAAGACACCTCATTTCCCCAGTCTGTGTGTCGAGACTTCGGCCCCAGTTGCCATCCTGGCTCTCGTGTTGAGAGAAAAGAGCTTTTCTGATCCCTCCAGTTGGGCTGTCTGGTCCTGAGCAAGTACAGAGAAGTATTGAAACAGAAGGAAGAAATACAGAGTGGGAGAACCCCCAGCTCCCACTTTTCTATAGAGATGTTACACTGAGACAAACAAGAGGCCATGGCATGAGGGATGCTGGCCAGACGTCCACAGCTACGAAGGTGTCAACCATGAATCTGGTTGCAGAGCCTGATGAGAAAAACTGCCCACCTTAATTTTCACCCTGAGCCCAGCACTAGGATCCTTGGAGGGTGCCAGGCCATCCTCTAAGCTGGTCTCCTTGGTTTCGTTAAGCTATTCCTTTCTGCTTTTCTTCCTGGTCCTTTTTCTTTCTTGAACAGTGTTACTTTTCTGGGGTTCCTACAGATGTGGTCCTCCATGCAATTTTCACACACTACACCCCTCCTCAGTCCTTCTAAATGTATGTGTGGTGGTTAAATTGCATGTTTTGGAAGCTGACAGCCTTGTGTTCCAGTGCCAGCTTTACCCTTTACCAGCTGTACTACCTTGGTAAATCACTTAGCCTCTTTGAGTCCTCCTTTTTCCTTGTCTGTGAAATACAAATAAACAACCTTTTAATGTTTTGGAGAGAATTTAGTGAAATAATGTGGGTAAAGCCTCATGCCTGATACTCAGTAGGTGCTCAGTCAGCGGTGGTCGATGCAAAAGAGCATTTTACTTTTGTGGAATCAACAGAGCTGATGTTGCTTCAACACTCCATGAGTCCCCTCAAATTATAGGCCAAATGTGTGTATGTTAATGTGCTGGGAAGAATTTCCAGGTTTCTTCAGGGTGTGGAGCAAGAGGTGGCAGTCTCCTGGAAAGGAAGTAGTCCCAATGCCTTGACTCAGTCTCCCTAAGAAGTCAGTTCCCCTGTTCCCATCCTTCAAGCCAGGAGTGCCTTCGGCAGTGCACTGCCTGGAAGTGCAGCTTCATCTAGGATGGAGCTGGGAGAGAGAGCCATTAGGAGAGCAGCACCTGTCCTTTGCCATCTACTTTAGTTTGCCAAGTACATTACTTTCATTAGCTCTTTCAATACCTAGAACATCCCAGTGAAGTGAAGAAAACTACCATTTATTGAGTGCCTACTGTGTTCCAGACATTGTGCTGGGTGTATTTTTTTATGTTTATTTAGAGTAGTTCATCAGCTAGATATGCCATGATTTACAAGACTCATCCTCTATTTTTAATCTTTAGTTATTGTTACTGTTAACAGTGCCACAATGAATGTCCTAACACATAAAGCTTTATGCATTTTTTTAACAGTAAATTACAAGAAGTAGAATTATTGGGTCAACAGATACAAATAACCCTCCTTCCCCATGGTTATGATTATTCTATTGATGTACCCTAATGAGAATAATATTTTCTAATCTTCCTCTTTGGAATTCTACAGTAGAAGCACAAGTGGGCAGTCCTTTCTCCCTCCTATATCCAGCAGAGACAATAATCTATCATGGTTTTTTTTTTTCAATTGAGGTAATTGTAGATTCATATGCAGTTGTAAGAATATGAGAGATCCCTTGTATATTTTTCCCACTTTCACCCAATGGTAATATTTTGCAAAATGATAGTATAATTATTACAACCAGAATGTTGTAGAGACTGTAGACTAC